AGGTCAAAGGTCAGCTTGACTGTGACATCATCATGTTTTAACGTCATATCTCAGGAACAGAAGGGGAGACATTTGGTCAGATACTGAATTGGTGACTCTAATCTTGAAACTGTGCTGATTGTATAGATCTTCTGTGTGTGAAGCATCCATGTTTTCACTGACATGGATGGAGACTGTCAAAGACACTGGACTGGTGGGAGGAGTCATACAACCACAGGGTGGGCGGAGTCATACAACCACAGGGTGGGCGGAGTCATACAACCACAGGGTGGGCTGGTGGGTGGAGTCATACAACTGTGGGGCAGTAGCTCTAGTTTGATTTTGAAATCCCTATCTAGCCTAGCTTTATTCAGTATGTGCTCCATGTTTTTGCAATTGGATGATGTCAGAATCATTTTATCTCTACAACACTGATAAATGAAAAAAAAATACTGAAAAATAAGTCTCATTCATTTCCATATAATTTTTTGTGTCAAATCCTGAGCTGCACGTTAACGACCTCTGATCGACACAGACGTGTTTGAAGATGCTTCACTCAGAGATCCAGATAGATTCAGTCTCGATGTCTTTAATTTCGTGGTTTCAAAGCAGTGACACATCATGATATTCACGGGGGAACTTATAATGATGTCACTGAGGTCACAGAAACAACTAAGAAAACGAGCCGCTGGAGGTCAAAGTTCAAGTCCAGACCTCAGTGGTGACAGACATCTCACTGGTCTCCATCTAAAATATAAAATCATACATATCCCTCCGTAACATACAGGTTGAGAGAGTGTGCCTCTGCAGCGAACAGGAGAAAATATAATGTGAAGTTAGGGAGGACACTAACCCTTCCTCCTCCTCCTCCTCCTCCTCCTCCTCAGACCCATCATGCTGTGCAGTGGTTCCTGGTCAGGAGATGCTGCTGGAGATCTGTAAAGGTCGATCGGGACTCGGACTCAGTATAGTGGGAGGAAGAGACACACAGCTGGTAACACACACACACACACACACACACACACACACAAACACATGGTGGTGTTTACTGTCATTGATTTGTGCTGCTTAATAATCGGATGAATTTAACCCCCTGGATTAAACCTGAGGTGACAGGTCTTGGTGTGATCCTTGATTCAGATCTAAGTGTCATGTCCCACATTTACAAAGTGACCAAAACATAATTTGTCCTCCTCAGAAACATCGCTAAGGTGCCACCATTTCTAAATGAACAAGATGCCGAGAAATTGATTCGCACCTTTATTTCAAGACGACTCGACGACTGTAACGCACTTTTTACTGAGAGACTTCAGCTGACTGAAAACTCTGCAACACCAGCCTCGATTGTGGGACAGGTTAAAGACGTTGATCTGGAGACCTTAGAGGTCAAGAGTTGGACTACAGGAGTTCACCAGTGTGGGGTGCAGCCCATGTGTGGCTTTAAAAACAAATGAAAGAACCTTAAAATCAATCCTGGATTGATTTTATGGTTCTTTCATCTGTTTTTTAAAGAACCTTAAAATCAATCCTGGATTTGACAGGAAGCCACTGCAGGGATGCTAGCACTGGTGTAATGCAGTGAGGAGTCTGGCTGCAGCGTTCTGCATCAGCTGCAGGCGAGACAAAGACGACCGGTCGACACCCAGGTACACAGAGCTGCAGCAGTTGAAGCTTGAGGAGATTAATGTGGTGGTTACAGTATTCAGGTCATCGTGACAGAGGATGGACTTCAGTTTCTTAGCTGGAAATAACAGTAACAATGAAGGAACATGTGACTCAGTGTCACAGTGTGGCTCACTGATGTGTTTTAAACAACAACAGAGGAAGAAGCTGGAGATACACAGTACAAGTCAGAAGATCCATGTAGTGTTGGGTCGAGTCTGAACATTAGAAGACGAGTGTCAAACATCACCAGAGTAAGACTTTATAGATTTCTGTCTGTCTCTCTGTGTCTCAGGACGCCATTGTGATCCATGAGGTTTATGAAGAAGGAGCTGCAGCCAGAGACGGACGCCTGTGGGCCGGAGACCAGATACTCGAGGTACGCTGTCCTGCAGTACTGATGGTAGTACTGTGAATACTCCTGAGTCATCTGTTCTGTACCTCCATTATTACTGTGAACTGTCACTGCTGATACTGTTACTAAGACTATAGACCCTTTCAGGGTCGAAGTCACAATGACATCACAGTATTAGCTGTGGGCTACATAGGAGTCTTAAAATCAGAATCAGAATCGGTTTTATTGCCAAGTATGTTTTCACATACAAGGAATTTGGCTTGGTGACTCTTGTGGTCTTGTTGTGTTATTGGGAGCCAGAATAGAAGGAGTCATGGCTCAAAAACAGCCGCCACTGCCCGTCAACAAAAACAAAGACAACTATGGTTAAATGTGATAAGACCAAAGGACTGGACGGAGGCCATCATCAAAAATGCTCACATGTGCAGCGCACACTTCATATCAGGTTAGGGAAAAAGTATTTCCTGTTGTAGGGATGAATAAGGTTATGTGTATTAAGGGTTATCATGTCCACCTCATCAGAAACTGGGGAGGGATTAAGAGGAATATTGGATTTCTCTGCAACGCTAACTTTTTAGCACATTAGCTAACGTTAGCTTCCATAGCAAAACAAACAAGTGTGGTCCTCCTTTGTAAGATTGGCTTCCTGTGACATCATCCATCCACTGAGTGAGAGCATACGGGTCGGCCAGTCTGGTCCCGTTGGTCAGTGTTTACTTATTCCAGTAACACTGGCGGTCCCGGAGAGTGAGTGACCTGACATGGTGCGTTGGTAAATTCAGTCTGACGCTCTACACTAAAATGAGAGCCCTGTTGGTGGAAGAAACGCAGCGTTATATTTCTACATGAATGAACCAACGGTTAAGTTAATCACACATTCACTCCGCTCGGCGCTCTGCTGCTCCGTCTCCACAGACAGAGTGTCCAGAGTGCGCTCTGCCACTCTGAGAGTGCGCTGCTCTGGATAACCCAACGCTACATTCAGACAGCGCTCCCAATTTATCAACGCTCCAGTTTGTGTCAGAGTGCGCTCCCACACTCACAATGAGTGTTTCTGAACGCACCACTCACATCATCTTCCTCCATCGTCTAAAACAAGACAACACAACTTGTTAGCTAGCGCTAGCTAATGTCTGTGGAGAACTGTTTTGCCTCCAGCTAAGCCCCGCCCACCAAAAAACATCACACTGTTCACTAACAGTAGAAGAGTCTATAATCTTTATTGCACAACAGCACTGCAGTTAAACTACTCTGTTCCTCAGTACAACTGTTCATTGCTGTTTTAATATTCAGTTGATGCTCACAGTAAATCTGGACACTACAGGTACTAAGACTGTTGCTCATTAACCTACTAATATTAATGTTAGCACTAACAGTACTGATGATACTCAAACTGCAGTATTTTGATAGATGGATGGTAAACGATGAGTTTCTGCTTTAAAATCAGTCGATTAAATCACAGACTGATCAATGTCTCCCTCTGCTGGACAAACACTGATCTACTCAAGTACTGCCCTTTATTACAATTTTAAGTTTGTTGTACTTTGAGTATTTCCATTTTATTGTTATTGTTATAGATGAAACTACACAGAGTCATTAAAATGAGCTCCACCTTTACCAGCTGCAACATGAAACTGATCAACACATAAATGCATCAATAATTATAAAACAGTAATCAGTGGTTTGAGCCCAGAGGACTGAAACTCTACAGTTTTTGTGAGATTTTTTTCTTCCTCAGAAATGTCTCCACAAAGTCCTGTGAGACGTTACATCGCAGACGCTTGAGGTTTTCACCAATCCTGTGTGCATGTAATGGCTTGTAACGGAGTATTTCCACTCTCCAGGTGAACGGGGTGGACCTCCGCGGGGCGTCACACGAGGAAGCCATCGCTGCCCTGCGTCAGACGCCGGCGAAGGTTCGTCTGATGGTGCTGAGGGACGAGGCTCAGTACAGAGACGAAGAGAACCTGGACGTCTTTAAGGTGGAACTGCAGAAGAGGAGCGGCAGAGGGCTGGGACTCAGCATCGTCGGGAAGAGGTCCGCCTTAAAACACACACTCGCACACATCTTCACAATACTGTGTGTTGTTTGTTAAAATCATTCACTTGTACATTTACACAAGTTCTGTACTTTGGTGCAGTTTTGAATGACTTCAGTACCTCCATCCTTTTGTTTCTTTATACTTTGACTTAGCAACAATTTGTGAGCGCATAACGAGTACTTTTACTCTTTGTGCTTTATGTGATGATGTCAACACTTTTACTGTGTGTGTGTGTGTGTGTGTGTGTGTGTGTGTTAGGAGTGGCAGTGGTGTGTTTATCTCTGATGTGGTCAGAGGGGGCGCCGCTGAGCTGGACGGTCGTCTGATGCAGGGAGATCAGATCCTGTCGGTCAACGGAGAAGACACGAGACACGCCTCCCAGGAAACCGTTGCCGCCATACTGAAGGTAAAACACACACCTTTACAGCACGTTCTAGGGGGGCGGAGCACTCGTTCAATTCTGGGCTGATACAGATGTTTTGTCACTGTTGTTGTTTATTTTGTTTTTGTTGTTATTTATTCCCCCTTTTTGCCATAGAAACAAAAAAAATCTCGTTATAAAAAATAACTGAGCTGTTTTAAAGAACAGTTGACCGGCTCTATAATTTGTCCATCGTGCTGTGTAGACATGAAGAAGACTCATGACCGCGTCCTTCGGGGGTCTTGTTTGGGGTACTGCGGGAGTACAGGGTACCGGGGTCGCTGCTACAGTTTAGGGACCTCAGAATTGCATCTCTGCTTTTCGCAGATAATGTGGTTCTGTTGGCTTCATCACACTGTGACCTCCAGCATGACCTGGGGCGGTTTGCAGCGGAGTGTGAAGCGGTCAGGATGAGAGTCAGCACCTCCAAATCTGAGGTCATGGTTCTCTGGAGCATACAGCTCCAACTGGAGGAGTGCCCCCTCTGGGTTGGGAGATTTGCGGACAGGCCGGTGGATGGAGAATATCAGCAGATAGCGATGTGCAGCCAATAAATCGGTGCATCTGGAATACAATCTGATAAACTGAACCTCTTCGTGGTCTTTACCGTGTGTTTGTACACAAACCTGAAACTAAAGCAAGTGTGTAAGCTCTGTAATGTGTGTGTGTGTGTGTGTCCTGCAGTGTGCTCGGGGTCCGGTCCTGTTGGAACTCGGACGACTCAAACCTGCATCCTGGATCTCATCCAGACGNGTGTGTCCTGCAGTGTGCTCGGGGTCCGGTCCTGTTGGAACTCGGACGACTCAAACCTGCATCCTGGATCTCATCCAGACGCAACTCACAAGGAAGCCAGGTGTGTGTGTGTGTGTCTTTGTGAGAACCAGTTTGATTTTGAACCTAGAGCGTACGACCATGTCGTTTGGTCCTCACCTCTTTATGGAGCTGTTTGAGGGTTCAGCTTCAGTTTGAAGTCCAGTTCAGGTTCACAACGAGATGAGTTGAAACAAACAACTACTGTCAACGCTCCGTTCTGTAATGTTGTAAAAATCTGCTGGCTCACAGGAAGTGACCACCATGAGACGGCGTATCATCTCTAGTCAACAACTCTCTGTGCTTCTGATCTGTAACGTTGACAGGAAGTGACCACCATGAGACGGCGTATCATCTCTAGTCAACAACTCTCTGTACTTCGTTCTGATTTGCATCTTTTCAGACTTATTTTGTGGCTGAATATAATTTGTAGCTTCTTAAAATCTGAATGAGGATAGTGATAGTGAGATACTGGCTCCAGTGATGAAACAAAACCAGCATCAGATGGACTGTATTCATAATCAATACGCCACAATAATATAAATAACCAGCGCCAACACACCGTCTGCAGTCATTAGCTGATTGGCTGTTGAAACAGAAACAGAATACGTGCTTTAAAACCAGCCGCCTGTAATTTGACCAGCTGAGTGTCAGGTGACACCATCAGCCGGCTTCTCTAAAGTTTTCTTTTAGGAACATAATCTGCAGCTGACATCAGGTAATAAATCACAATATATAATGCTATATATTTTATCGCAACACGTTAAAAGTCGCAGTAATATCGTATCGTGGAGCCTCTGGTGATTCCCACTGTAAACATGCCAGAGTCAACAAGAACTTGTGCGCACAAATGTTTTTATAATCAGATACTGTGACGCAGAAAATGACAAAACAAACAAGCTGTTTATTTGTAAACAGACGACATCAACAAATTAACAGAACGTGTCTCTGTCTTTGTCTCAGATGAGTCATGTGAGCGGGAACAGCTCAGGTGTTGTGGCTCCGCCCCTCAAACACACCTCAACATCATGTGACGTCGTGACCTCAGACCTCCCGACCTCCACCAGCCCCGCGCCCCTCAACAACAACAACACCAAGTCCAGCAGTGACATCACTTCCTCCTCTAACAGCACAGGTTGAGTCAACTTCCTGCATGTTTGAGCTCATCAGGAGCTGTCGTATATGAAGAGTTCTGCACTTCCTGTTTGGATTTAAGAGTTTCTTTAACTGTTTAAAAAAAAGCTGAGACGTTACTACGGATCATTTAAGCCTGAGTTTGTGTGTTGAAGCGTTCAGTTACTGTGTGTGTGTGTGTGTGTGTGTGTGTCTGTGTGTCTGTGTGTCTGTGTGGTAGCAGTGCTGTAGGCATTAAAGAGTTGAGTCCAGAGGTGAGGTCAGTTAATGGATTATTACAGGTTTCTAATGGGTTTTCTAAATAGTTAATAGTGTTAAAGGGTTAAAATAAAAGTATACCAGATTGAATTTTCATGTCAGTTGAGGCCACATGAAGGTTTATATTTATGGCTCGCTCTCATGCTATTCAACAGCAACTGTTTAAAGCAGCGGTTCCCAACAGGTGCAGCCACAGGGTCCAGATTCCTCCTCAGTCATTAGTTCAAGGTCCACACAGTTTAATACATTCAGCGTCATACCTGCGTTTGACCATGTTGTCAAGCTAGTCACTCACTCTATGGCAGGAAACGGCCCTTCAAAATAAAAGCTCTGTGCCTTCAGAATGAACCCATGACCCACTTTTGGACCGTGACCCATCAGTTGGGAACCACTGCTTTAAGGTCTTTTAATTTGGTTTTAAAAGTTTAATTGTTTAATTCATCAATTAATTTTCTAATAAGTTTTCCGTGTGTTTTAAGAAGTCAGAAAAAAACTTTGTTTAAGGTGCAGCTTCACCAAAATGTCAGTGTTGCATGTTTTTTCATGGCATTACAGACCATAATATTATATAATGTAATATGATATAAGATGTGATGTTTATAGACACACTTCAGTTTTAATCTCTGGCTGGTTAAATGTTATTTTTTCTCTTTTTCTTTGTGTGTGTGTGTGTGTGCAGGCGTCGATGCTGGCATCCGTACGGTGGAGATCATGAGGGTAAATGTAAATGTATATATGTAGCAGAGAGCACACACTAGGTCTCATTCATGAAACGTGAGGAGAACGAATTTGTGTGTAAACTGTTGGCAGAAGGAAATTTACGTGTATTTCAGCATTCATCAACATGTTAGTAGCTCCGATCTTTTTCGTAGATGCTAAAAAAATCTACACCTGATTCTGACTGCTCGTCATGCTCGTGTTTAAATAAGGAATGCACACAAATGTTGCTTGTCATGATTTCAAATTACAGTACGCAGATTTTGTTGATTATAGCGCCCCCTTTGGTCAAAGTGGGATGACACCCACAGCCTGGTGTCGTAAAATTCCGACTGCAGCCGGCATTCGGCTTCATTCGTAAAATCTCAACTGCAGCCGGCACTTACCGCATGCATTTGTTTTGGAGAGCGAGAGGAAAATCATAAATGTTCTGGTGTAGCTCTAATTTCTTATAAACTGAGGACAACTGCCTGCTGTATGTTTGTGTTCATGGTCACAGTCACAGATAATTTTGTGGCGTTTGTTGTAACGTTACTAGACAAAAGCGGCTCACATCAGCTAACGTTACATTTAGCTTGCTTATAACGTCCATGTTGTCATATATTGAAGTGAAACAATGTCTAACAAGTTGCGGTATATTCTCTAAATAAAAACAAAAAATACATACCTGTCGATTAGGAAAAGGGCCAACTCGGGATCAGTTTTAAAACCTTTCAAATCTCTCAGCTCTCTGCACTTGGTGAATGCCCGACCGAGGTTTACACGCGTTTGGACTCGAGTCCTGTCACTGTCCTGTTTAGCCTTCTTCTGTTCTTCTGTTCTTTTTCTTTTAGATGGTGCTCCTTCTTTATCCGCCATGACATCAAAAGTACAACCAAGCCCTTATAGATACATCTGGTAAAACTGTTGTGTTCAGCAATGCCCGTTGCGTGCCGCTTACTCAAAGAACACTCTCTGTAAACACGGCTCTTCTTCTTCTCTCAATTTATTGGCGGATCGTAAACAACTTCCAGGTGCATACCACCACCTACTGTACAAGAGTGTGCAATGTGTCTGAAATCATTCACTACTCCCTACTACATGTCATTTAGCCTGTTTCTTAAATTCTACTTGTAAACACGGCTCCTTCTTCTTCTGTGGTTTAATGGCTGTGGGCTGCTGCGGGCGTGCAGACTTACTTCCGCCTCCGGGTGTCGTATTCTGGTTTGCTGACTTCTGCTGTGTCCGACCCGACCGACGCTACGCTAAATAGCCATATAGAGAAAGGCTTTTTTGTCTCTGTTGGGTTCAAATAAATATATGGATCTTCAAGGGGGGGTGATACGAACTAGGGACGGTTTTATTAATGGTAAAACGTTCCGCACAGCTGCTTTAACACTTAATATAACACGTACATCACCTTCTGAGTTTGACTGACTGCTCCAGTGGAGGTGTGTCGTGGTCTCATCTGACAGAGAGGTCTCTGTGATGATGTAAGCAATGTGCTCGTCTGCAGCTGTGACTGGGCGGAGCCTTCTCCTGTAGCTGTTGTGGGTTTTGTGTGTGATAAACAGAGATCTGTGTGGGTAAATGAGACCCTAAAAAAGAGGCTGGATCATGGGGAGTACCACCAGTTGGTCCAGGAGCTTCTCCTCCATCATGGAGTTAAGAACCATTCAGTAGGAAGTTAGAAAATGAGGCTTCATTTTCTCTCAGGCGTCCCCTGAAGAGAGTCTTCACTATAACGTCTTTGTTTCCTCCATCTGTCCCCCCTCAGGGTGTCAGTGACTCCCTTGGGGTGAGTATAGCCGGAGGGAAGGGCAGCCCGCTGGGTGACATCCCCATCTTCATCGCCATGATTCAGGCCAATGGAGTCGCTGCCAAGACGCACCGTCTCAAGGTAGATTAAGGTCCCGTCTACACGTGTACAGATATTTTTAATAAAACAGATATTTTCTTGTTTTTGGGAGAGAGTTACTGCCTCGCAAGGGAGTTCAAGTATCTCAGGGTTTTGTTCACAGTGAGGGTAGAATGGAGCGTGAGATGGATCAGCGGTTTTGTGCGGCTTCTGCAGTGATGTGGGCGCTGCGCCGGACCATCATGGTTCAGAGGGAGCTGAGCCAGAAGCCAAAGCTTTCCATTTCCTGGTCCATCTCCGTCCCAACCCTCACCTATGGTCATGAGCTCTGGGTAGTGACTGAAAGAATGAGATCACAGATACAAGCGTCTGAAATGAGTTTCCTCTGTAGGGTGTCTGGGCTCAGCCTTAGAGATAGGGGGAGGAGTCAGACATCTGGAGGGAGCTCGGAGTAGAGCCGCTGCTCCTTCATGTTGAGGTGGTTCAGCATCTGATCAGGATCCTCCTGGGCGCCTCCTGTTAGAGGTGTTTTGGACACGTCCCACTGGTAGGAGGCCCCGGGGCAGACCCAGAACACACTGGAGGGATTATATATCTCATCTGGCCTGGGAACACCTTGGGGTCCTCCAGGAGGAGCTGGAAAGTGTTGCTGAGGAGAAGGACGTCTGGGGTGCTTTGCTCAGCCTGCTGCCTCCGTGACCCGGCCCTGGATGAAAATGGATGGATGGATATTTTCTTCTACTTTTTGTCTGATGCAAACAGAGTGTTAGGTCACTAAAACAGAGATTTTTGAAAATGCATTTAAAGATGCAGATTATTGGACATGTAAAACAAAGATCACAACGATGATCTCCGTAATTCTTGCATGTCAGTGATTTGTGTAATGAGCATGCTCCAGAAACAACAACAATGCCGGACTAATGTTTGTAATGTTTTGTCAGGACTGCTTGGTCTAAAGAATCCTTCACATGTAACCTCAGCACTACAGCACCACCTCACGGACGAACAGAGGTGTGTGCTGCACCCAGTGTTATCTGGTCCGCCAGGAACAGCGGTTTTGGATCTGACCCGTTCGAACCAACAGATGGTCAGACAATTTCCAGACTAGGATTGTTGTTGATGAGGACTGGAAGGAAAAGTGTTGCATGTCCAGAGCATCACTCGTACCACCTCGGTCATTATATCGAAAGGGAATCAACAGTGATGAGATCTCTAGATGTCGTTTTGAAAACGATAATTATAGGCTGTGCCCTTTATTTGCAACAAGAGGAGACTGCAGAGGACAGCTGACACAGGCCAGTGTTTAGAGTCGTTTTTGAGTTGCAGAGTGTACAGATGTTTTTAAAACAAAAGCAGTATTTACAGAGGTGTTTTTTAAAAATGGAGTGGGAAAATATCTGTCTTTAAAAATGTCTGTGTTCGTGTAGACGTGTGTTTTCAGACTGTTATAATGATCCATCCTGTGTGGGATTACATGACACCCAATGACACCACGGATGAAATAAGAATGTGTGTGTGTGTGTGTGTGTGTGTGTTCAGGTGGGCGACAGGATCGTCAGTATTAACAGTCAGTCTGTGGACAGTCTGTCACACAGCGAGGTCGTCACCATGCTGAAGAACAGCTATGGAAACATCAGCCTGCAGGTAACACTGACGCCACTGTGTTCTCACTGCCTCTGCTGTGTGCGTGTGTGTGTGTGTGGTCCAGCAGGTTGACTGTTGTGTGTGTGATAGCAGCAGAACTAATGAAGCTCCTTCAGCCTGCAGCACAGAGACTCTGATAACAGACTGAGTTGATATCTGGCTGTTTGTCCAAAGGCTCTGAGACAGGTCTGTCTGTCTGTCTGTCTGTCTGTCTGTCACACAGGCAGGTGTTTTACCTGGCTCTCTGCTTTACTTTGCTAACTTCTGTTTGTTAAGTCCAGTTCAGACCAAAGATTGTTGACGAGACAAAAACAGTTTCAGAACGTCACAGAGAAAAGTGTCAGCGGTGTGAACTGGCCGGTCTGAGCTTGACTCAAGCCGGCTGATGGTGTCACCTGACACTCAGCTGGTCAAATGGCCGGCAGCTGGTTTTAAAGCACGTCACCTGTTTCAACAGCCAATCAGCTTGTAGTGAAATCCGCTGGTCAAGTCAAAATGACCACAGACGGTGCTCCATCCCCACCGAGCCCTCTGTTTCTGTCCTCACGATGTGCCGGTGTCAGATGGTGGATTGCCACAGTATGTGTGGCTGGTTATTTATATTATTGTGGTGTATTGATTATGAATACAGTCCATCTGATGCTGGTTTTGTTTCATCACTGTAGCCAGTATCTCACTATCACTATCCTCATTCAGAATTTAAGAAGCTACAAATTATATTCAGCCACAAAATAAGTCTGAAAAGCTGCAAATCAGAACAAAGCACAGAGAGTCGTTGACTAGAGATGATACGCCGTCTCATGGTGGTCACTTCCTGTCGACGTTACAGATCAGAAGCACAGAGAGTTGTTGACTAGAGATGATACGCCGTCTCATGGCGGTCACTTCCTGTTGACGTTACAGATCAGAAGCACAGAGAGTTGTTGAGTAGAGATGATACACCGTCTCATGGCGGTCACTTCCTGTCGACGTTACAGATCAGAAGCACAAAGAGTTGTTGACTAGAGATGATACGCCGTCTCATGGCGGTCACTTCCTGTCAACGTTACAGATCAGAAGCACAGAGAGTAGTTGACTAGAGATGATACACCGTCTCATGGTGGTCACTTCCTGTGAACCAGCAGCTTTTTACAACGTTGCAGAACAGAGCGTTGACAGTAGTTGTTTGTCTCATCGTGACTCTTTGGTCTGAGCTGGACTTTAGTTTTGTTGATAAAGTTGTTCCATCAGTGTTAATATAGTTGAATTTGTGAGCAACAGATTAAACACAGATTTCTGAAGCTCAGATTATTCTGCGTCTCCGTGAAGGGACGGCATGGTTTAAATCTTTCATGATGTGAAAGTTTTAGGAAGTGAACTGTGAGAAAACAGTAAATCTGAGGGCTGTACCACGAAGTGAGATCAGTGGCTCAGTGACGTATGTTGAGTCTAAAGCCAGAGTTTTCCGTCCTACTAAGGTGGTACTTTTTAACTTGGCTAAATCACCATGGTAACTGATGCAGCAGACCTAACCTGGTCAATGTTTCACACTTTTTTCATTTATTATTTGTGTTTTAAACATATTTAGAAACATACTGACGTTCTGTAAGAAAAAGATAATTAGATTGATGTTCATACTGCAGTAGTTTAATAAAACACTTCCATAAAGCAGTTTGACCTGTGAGACAGATTAAAAACAGGAAAGTCTGCAGCCTGTTGAGCAGATTCAGATAGAAGACGTTTGTCCTCCAGTAATTAAACTGGGTAAAGCATATATTAGCATTGACCTGAGCTGTAGTGGTGTATTTATGCTGTAAACACAACAACATGGCAACAAAACAACACAAACTACATTGTACTGCTGAAGAAGCGATGCTTCTGAATCATTTCCTGTGGACATAGAGGCCTGAAATGTATTTGTTATTAACCATGTGTTCTCTCAGACAACTGGTTGTGTTGCAAACGAACTGTTCACATACTTGCCTTCGTACTAACTGTGTTCCTGGAGTATCCACGAGAGGGCACACTGATAACTCTGACGGATTTGCATGATGTCAACAATAAACACAGCGACACCAGCAGATGTGACGACACGAGGTTACTAGTTAGTTCTCAGATCACTGCAGAAGACGCAACAGCAGCACCATCGTAGATGGAACATAAGATCCCTGCATGTTTGTTTCTCACACTGCCTCCACCACCCTTTGTGTGTGTACTGCAGAAGAGTAGTGTTCATTTCGTGCACAACCAACGCTCAGAGCAGGCGCAAGGCAGCCATCATGTGCACACGAACACATAGTTAAAAGCTGGATCCTGTGTACAGCACATGCTCAGTCTGACTCCTACAATCAGTGGAGGTTCCCTTTAAATTTCATAAATTCAGTTCAGTTAAATCAGCTGATATGCTGTGTGTGTGTGTGCGTGTGTGTGTGTGCGTGCATCAGGTGGTAGCGGACACCAACATCAGTGCCATCGCCACTCAGGTGGAGAGTTTGTCCAGCAGCTCCAGTCTGTCAGCCAACACTGACACACACACAGTGGAGCCAGAGTGAGTACACACACACACACACACACACACACACACACACACACACATAACGACAGGTGTATCTGATCCCCCTCCTCCTCGTCCTCAGGGGCCCGCAGCCCCGCAGCATCAGTCTGGAGAAAGGCTCCGAGGGACTTGGCTTCAGCATCGTGGGAGGATTCGGCAGTCCACATGGAGACCTGCCCATCTACGTCAAGACCGTCTTCAGCAAGGTCAGAGCCAGGCTAGCTGTTTGCACCTGAGTCAAGTCTTTATACTAAGCTAAGCTAACCTAACCAGGTCTGGATTTTACACAGACATGAGCCTGATATCCATATGAGAACTCTCACAGAAAGAGTCTGAACATAAAGTTCCTCCTCACTTCTCAGTGACCAGTGTTAACCAGTCATTTACTAAAACAGGCTGGATCTAGGAGAAAAAAAAAACTTCAGTAAAGTGTAAATCGGTTGCTAGGAAACATCTGTAGCATCACTTCCAAACACACAGGCTGTGTCTGAAATCATTCACTCATTCACCCCTCCATAGGGAGCTGTATGTAGAGCACTACACACTGAGCTCATCTGCAGCATGAAAAAACTCTCAGACACTCAGGTCATTTTCTCGGCGCCGTTAATGACGTCATTGCTGTCATACAGTTGACCTATGGCTAAGCCACACCCCCTCCACTCACTCGGACAAACTATCAACATTCAGTGAGCGGCGCTATGGCAGGTGTCACAGTACACGGCATTTCACAGGAGGCAACTGATGATTTTTGGAGACATAACGATCAGATGTCATTGAGAAGTAACCAAAAGGGCCTAAACTACGCATTGGAGGGATATATTCATCATTTTATTGTTGAGAAGGTCGATGAAAAGCTTAAATTACAAGCCAAAATTTACAGGTCACAGTGTACGCTTGTGAACCGCATCTGGTTGCCGTCACCATCAAAGACAACAAGTTAAAGTGCCACTGAAGTTAAGGTTTTTGGCTCAGAATATGAGAAAAGGATAACGGCCTTTTTACCATCTTTACCAAGAGTGTCTCTCCGTTAGTTTGGTGCTACAGTATTTACACTGAATCATTCAGCATAACGTTTGCCAACCTTTGTTATCTCTGCCATTACAGATAAGTTAATGAAGCTAAGCTCCAGAAGTTAACGTTAGCTTAACTAGAGCCCTTTGGACAACAGCTAACAATGATGTACGATCACCAAAGTACAAAACTAGAACAAAATAGGCTAATGAACTCCCAGCAAACAAGGTGACATGATGAACAACGCAGCTAGGAGCTAACGTTAGGCTAACTTTAGCTAACGTTAGCTAGAGATGTTAAAGATAACTTTATATTTCTTTCCAGCAAAGTGACAATATGTTGCCTCAAACACAATGTTGACTTACCTTAGAACAGATGTAGACATCATTGTTAATCTTATTCACGTTGAGTTGATGTTGTGGTCTAACGTTACCACACAACTTTATCCAAAGGAGACACTTTTCTCGGTTGAGATGTGGTTTAGAGTGTAAAAAATACACCTGGTCGCCCAGCCTCTCAGGATACCTTGTGTCAGAGTTGCATGTACCCCATGCACACCGTTTGACCATTTTTAAACTTCAAATCTCAGAAAAAGTTCATAAAACTGAACAAAACTGACTTTCTGTAATGCATTTCAATGGACGTCCAGGCAGAGAATGTCCCAGTGTATGGGAATGGCTATACGCACTGTGATTGGCTCATCGCGTTTGAGGGCGGGGCTTAGCCATAGGTCAATTAAAACATGTCATATCAACGTCGGCTGATGAACCATCCATAACAAATTCTGGTAGCAGTGACCCATCTTGCTAACATTAGCTAGCATTGTTAGCCCTCTTCTGCACAGTAACTGTGAAGAACTAAAGAGGATCAGTTGCTGATTTATTTTGATCTCAGGCCGTCACTTTCAGTCCGTAGTTTTACAACATGAAGTTTAGCATAATCAGAGCTGTGATCATAACTTTTGTTCTTGATGAATGTTGATGGCTGAGCTAAACAGACTTGAGAGTGGACTCAGATGGCGTGTGTTTCAGGGTGCGGCGGCGGTGGACGGGCGTCTAAAGCGAGGCGACCAGATCCTGTCAGTGAACGGAGAGAGTCTGCAGGGAGCGACGCACGAGCAGGCGGTTGCCATCCTGAAGAAACAGAGAGGAACCGTCACACTGGACGTCCTGTCATAACACACACATACCTGCATGCACACACACACACACACACACACATGAACTGAGATTCCTGTGATTTCACACACTTTGACTCTTGGACTACAAATCATCGTGAACTTCCCAACATGCAAAAAAAAAAAGAAAAAGAAACAGCATCAGACGGTGCGCGCACACACACACACACACACACACACACACACTTCCTGTGGGGTGAAACCAGTACACACTGATGCCAGTGAAACTCTTCGCAGCATGGCCACTTTAATATCTGAAGCAGAGTTTCTCAACCCGGGGGGCGGGGCCTCAGGTGAGCTCACCTGATACGTAGCTGTGGTCGTGATAAAATCTGAGGATGATGATTAAGGATAAAGATCTTGACTGCTCAGCTGATTGTGGTATCTCAACAACTACTGGACGTGCTGCAGGAATGAGTTAGAATTTTAGCACTTCCTGTTCCCTCGTCACAACATCAGTGGGTTTTTTGAGATTGTGTTTTTGGCTGGATGTCTGAAATAAGGTCTGTGGTTAACACGAGCTGAAGAGACGTTTAATTCTATGACATAAAATACATCAGTAACACCCCACTCAGTAATTTAGAAGCTTTTATGTGTCTCAAAAAAGGCGATAGCTAACAAGTGGCTAAACAAGTCTATAAAACGTCATCATGTCGAGCGCAGCTTTACAGCCTCGTTGTGGAGGCAGCGTTTTAGTCATGTGACCCTGGTGTAGCTTGCTTGAACCCAAATGTTTGATTTTTATTTCAGGTTATGGTGTTTGTTAGTGGAGATCATCACACTGAACAAAACCTGTATCATAAACGTTTGTCACAGAGCTTTTTTTCTGCAGATATCCAAAATCTAATGGAAAAATCCCGTTGACATTTTGACGAGGGAACCAGGGTGACGCTAACTTCCACATCAGCCAATAAAAAACACATCATCCCTGCTGCAGCAGCTCATATTTTTGCTCCCCAGATGATGGTTTTTAAATATTTTGAAAAACCCTTCCCCGTACAAAAGACACAAATCCAATGTGCATATTATGGTAAAATTTCCTCCGGACATTCGTCTTCTTTGTCTCTTTTTGTGTCGTCACAGTTGTGAAGTATTTTCAGAATATTCTATTTTTAGTGAAGAATTGCAGCACAATGGGAGGAACCTCCCTGTCTGTCTCTACTCTCTCCCCGTGTCTTATATTTGGCTTCACGGCTGACGGGGCTGAGCTGTCCTCCCCTCTGTCTGTGAGCAGTCCACATCCCCTTCATCATCATCATCATCATCACCAGCCACCTGAGTATTACTATCTGACCTGTCTCAGTTATGTAATGATACTGTGCGCCCTGTTTCTGTCTTGGATGGATGAATGTGTTCCGCAGGTAACGCAGCGTTTCCTTCTCTGCTTCTTGGCTTAGGTTTACTCTCTAAAGGCTTTGACAGATGTGAAATTAGAATTAACGCGCTCTATTTGTATGCCTTTGCGCACCAGTAAAGTTTGACCTCTGATCTCCGAAATCCAATCAGTTCATTGTTTTGTCCAAGTGAACATTTGTGCCAAATTTGAAGAAGTTCCCACACGGTGTTCTTAAGATATCGCATTTATGAGAATGAGACAGACAAGGTACACAGTGACCTTGACCTTTGACCTATGACCTCTAAAAATGAATCAGTTAATCGTTGAGTCCAAGTGGACGTTGGAGACAAATATCCAAAAATTCCCTCAAGGTGTTTTTCAGATTCCATGTTCACAAGAATCAAATAGATGCAAGGTCACAGTGACCTTTGACCATTAAAGTCTGATCAGTTCATCGTTGAGTCCAAGTGGACATTTGTGCCAAATCTGAAGAAAGTCCCTTGAGGCATTTTTGAGATATCGTGTCCATAAGGATGGAATGAACAGATGTACAGCTGTTCATATTTAGGTACGTACAGACGTACGGACAACCTAAAAACATAATGCTTCCGACCACAGCTGTCACCAGCATAAAAATGCAATTTTTTTTTTAATTTTTCGGAGTCAGTGTGCAAACATGATTGACACAACGTGAGGTCATATTTATTTTTAAACATTCGAAAATTCTGGACGAAAAAAAGCTGTGCTGTGGCCTGAACAGTAGGAATAAAACTAATTTTCAACTCATGTCTTCACCCCAGTTTTTGCTGCCTGGAACCAACTCACAACTTCCCATTGACTTTCAGTCTAATGTTTATCATGTTCACAGGCTTCGTTAAATAATGCTAATGTTAGCTAATTGGCACTAAACACAAAAAGGAGAAATTTGCAGGTATTTGTTCAAAAAGTAAATTATTTGGACACATTATGGTGGTGACCTTATAAACATTTATCAAAGTTTTTAGAATCAAAACATTTAATCAAAGAATTGATTAGTCGAAATAAATTAAACGTAAATATTTGGTGGTTATTGGTGATCATATGTTTTTGATAATCTACAGCCGTAGCTGGAGGCGTTATATTTTCAGGTTGTCCGTCTGTCCCATTCTTGTGAACATGACATCCCGAGTGCACCTTCAGGGAATTGCTTCAGATTTGGCACAAACGTCCACTTGGACTCAACAATGAACTGATTAGATTTCGGGGGTCATAGGTCAAAGGTTGTTGCAGTTGTGACTTCATCTGTTGCATTCTGGTCATTGCGATATCCCAGTTATGCCTTGAGGGAATTTCTTCAGATTTGGCACAAACGTCCACTTGGACTCAAGGATAAACTGACCAGAATTTTGTTGTCGAAGGTCAAAGGTTACAATTAGTCGTAGCCCTTAAATTAAGTACAGTTTAGCTTGTGAGGAATGTGAATATCTGAACTAAATCTAAAGGCACTCCATCAGTTGTTGAGATACTTGAACAACAATCGTCGACCTCACAGTGACACGAGGATCGCTAAAGTCAGCAGGATTCATCATCTGGGGAACATGAATGTCAAAATGTCAGATCTGTCCAACAGTTGTCAACGTGTTTCATATTCCTGCTGGTGTTTCAGAAATAGAGATATCTGACAGAGTAAACGTGTCTTCACGAACCAGAAGAGATTGAGAAACTCTGTTACTAGACAAACTATCAATTCAGAATATCATCTAAAAACAATCAATATGGAGTCACGAAGGCGTGACGTTTAAATCCAGCCTGCACTAGTTAATACAGTCGGACACACACAGACAGCACAGAGGTTTGTTTTCATGTTTATAATCCAGAGGAACAAAAGGGAAGTATTGTTGGTGAAAAGATGTGTTCTCTGACACTGCTGCTTACGTTAGCTTAGCATCTTCGCTGTGGTAAAAGGCTGGTTAGCTGTTAGCCACCGTGTAGCAGTTACTATATACGTGAAAACCACCGGAGAGGTGAGTGTGTAAACTGTAACGCGACTGATCGTTTCAGACCTCATCGACATCTGGTTTTTATTCTCCATTAAAGAAACAGCTGTTACGTATAAACAGCTGGTCATCAAAAAGGGACTTTTCATTTTTAAATTGGCACTAAATTTTGGCCATTTTCAAACACCGAATTAGCAACAGCGTTTTAAATTTTTATTTTTCTCGTATGTTGTGGGCTCATAAATGGTAAACTGAATTTCAGTTTGATTAAATTATTTCTTTGTAATATCGCCAGTCACAAAAATGTAGAATTAGGAAAAGGTAGGAAAGTCCACTCGTGGTCATCGTGGCGTGGATCATCCCTTATGGTCATTGTTTTCAGTCTTTACTTAAAAAAAAAAAAAAAAAAAAAGAACAACTAGGTGTTTACTGGTGTTTATTTGAAGATAAAATCAATGAAGGCTTGTTCTAGTTTGAACGTTAGACAATGGGAAAAAGTTGGAATAAACCATCAATAACACAAATCTGGCTAAAAACTAGTTTTGAGTACGTCCTGATCTGATTTGATCTCAGTCCTGTCACAATCACAAGAATAAAACCACAAATTTAACCAATCCCTGTGACTTCTGTGTGACTTTACAATTTTGTCCAATCGCTGCAACTTTACCAAAAATTTGATTATTTAAAATGGGTAAAACCTCACAAGCACAGTGGCAGAGCTAACTGTTAGCATCACACGGCTAATGTTACCCAACGGTTATTAATGTGAGTCGAGTCAAGTCGAGTTGTTTCAGTGTCGGATGTTTTACCGTTGCTGCGAGTCCTCTGCCCGAGCGTCAAAATATAACGAGTAGGGATGACATCATATATTACTGTGTTAGCTTGTGCTAACCGGGAAGAGAGAACAGGAGGAGGCTCTCACAGGGACGGCCTTTCAGGACGGTCCTTTTTGCAATTTCATTGTGGAAAAAAAAAGGGTACAAACATCGCAATATGCGTCGCAATTTTTTCAGAGGAGCAACCACGAAATCAGACATTTCAGGAGGTGAGAATCTGAAAGAGCCTGCAAACTCCTGGAGGGACGATTAATGGAAGTCAGAATGTGTAGAAACTGAAAACAATGAGCCATAAATAAACATGTAACAAACAACACTAAAATGTTTTTTCAGCATAGAAAAACTTGTTTTTTTGTAGTTACTTTTAATACAAATGTTTCCTGAAGTTTATCTTAGAATTTTTAGGGACTGTTCGTCATCATATGTGACAAATGCTTCCATCAGAAAAATGAAAATAAACAAATAACAGAATCAGAGCTTAAAATACTGATATTTCATCCAAATCACTTTCTTTACGTCTCATTTCAAATTTGGCCAAAAATAAATCATTTGCAGGACAGGAGTGAAAAACTGAGACTTTTTTCATCTCCAGGATTTCATCTTCAACTTTTAACTTTCAAACATCAAAGGGTGAGTTTTAAAAGTCATTAATGGTGGAGAGAGGGTCGAGCGTTTTCCTCCAGTCACTCAGGGAGGCTCAAGGAAAAATATTTGGAGCTTTGGGGAGGATCAAAATATAAAAAGCAAACAAAAGAAAAAGAAAAAAGCAATGAAGTCACACCCCCTCCCCTCCTCTGATGAATAAAGAACAGTCCCTTAATAAACATTTAATTCCTCACGCACACATTTTTCTTCCCGTCATGACTCACATACTGACACATAACATCATATAAATGTTAAATACTCACGTGTCTCCGTGGAGATGACTCTCAGGACTTGGTGGGCTTGGAGACCCCCTGTCGCCCCCGGCAACAGATACAGTGTCTTCCACATGATTGTTACCATGGAGAGAAAAACTATGAAAACGTGACTCCATGGAGATTTAGAATAATTAAAGGCTTTCTAGAAGCAGCGTGGAAAAAAAGCAACAGATGGACGTTCAGTAAAACTCTTGTTCTCTGACGTCTGCAGGGTTTGGTTAGCGTAGCTTAGCGAAAACACTGGAAGCTGGTGGAAACTGTTAGCCTCGCTCCTTCAAGAGACAGATACCCACCTCTCCCTTCTCAGCTAACAAACGTTGATCACACGTCTCAATTTAATCTTTTGGTCCTTTGGTACTTACACATAGAAGTACAAACAAACAGCCGCAGTCAGCGTTTCTGGGGTTAAGCTAGCATGGGCCGTTAAAACTGCGACATTTTATGACGTCTGCATTAAAAATAACCAACAGGTTTTATGATGATCGGACAGACGCGCAACGATTTACAATCAAATCTGTGCCGGGCCACGCTCCTCTGTGGCAACACTGTCGCTTCCTGTCGGTCAGCTGCAGAAACATGTTGGGGACATTTTAAGTTATTTGAACAAACCGTCATCGATTTATGGTCAAATTTTGCTCCAGGTCAGTGCAGCTGAAACTGGCAGCGCAGCCTGTTGACTGATTTCAAAATGATTTTACACACGTTGTCGAACACTATAACGAAGCATATCCTGCAAGTTTTGTGATGTTTGGAGAAACTTTCTCTGATTCATAGCCTTTGTGTAATGCCACACCACTGTATTACATGTGTTACGCCCCCTAGTGGTGGAATGAAAATTTCAGGGTATATTTCAGGTACTTGCACGGTTTAAGAGGAGCCGTCAAAAATGTGTTTTTCAAAAAATTAACAATTGCGGGAAATCATGTCAGGCGGAGCCTAGCGGTCCTTGAGGCTTTGTTGTAGAGCGCATTGAGCTGGACATGTCTGACAAATTTCAAGTCAATCTGATTTACGATGTGATGGGCGTGGCCTTTCCTAAATTAAACTTTATGGCCTTAGTTACAGCGCCACCATCAGGCTGATTGGCTTCATATTTCTTGGGCAGCATTTGCAGCTTTCAATCATTAGAGAAAACTGTTGACGATGTACCATCTCACAGGAATTTGAGAAAACATTTCTGAAGAAATAAATAAATTCGCAGAAAAACAAAACGGTTTTCAGCCCTTTGGCGTGAACTCCTCAACTTAGGGATTGAGATTCGATGAAATGCAAAATGAACTTCTTAGTTTAGACAGAGAACAAGAGGATTTACCAGCATGTCAGACTGTTGCTTGTAATCTTAAATTTTACAACATGAAGATAGTTGTGTGTTTGCAGAGTTTTGCTAACGTCTCGTCTGATACCGCAGTACTCTGTTCAGATATTTAGATGTGTAACTGAAGTATTTAGCAGCAGCTGTAGGCGTCAGAACGGAGAACAGATCCTGTACTT